GGGTATAAAACCTATGATAACTTCCTGCTTAATGGAAACTATAATTTGCTGTTTTTTTAAAAAAACAAACCTCCTAAATAAACTAAATAAAAATGGCCTTGTTAGTTAATATTATAAAACACCTTTGTACATTTCCAAGAAATCTCTGAAAAGAAAAATGGAATACCAGGGATAATTTGCTATGCAAAAATCTCCAGTCATTATACCCCTATTTTGTCAGATTATTTTTAGGATTTCCTTTCTAGTATGCAAATTTTACAAGTCAGGGGACATATGGTTTAATTTTAATATCAATAAAATATTTTTGTTTCAGATGACAAATGAGGAAAGTTAATATATCTCTGTGGTTTATAAAAACACTTACTTTACATAATTGAATTATTCATAACATTTTGAAAATTCTATTTAATCATTTGCATATGTGATGGGACATAAGCATATTCATACAAATTTGTGTACATAAATATAAAATACAATTACTCTTAAAACAGTATTTAAAATCAAGTATTTTAAAATATAAGGATTATTACCTTTAATTTATGTTGATATGAGTGTTTTGATCAGCAGCTATAGGTCAAGTATATCCTCCCATATGAAACTAAGTTCTTCAGATATGCAGTTTTTGTACTTAAGAAGGCAACCCAAAATTTAACCTAAAATCAAAGTTACAACAAGGTTTCTCTATCCCTTACCATAATATTGTTTATTTAGCTTTAGAATTTTTTATTTTATTTTATTAATTTAAAATAAAGTTTATTTAAGATTGATATATTGAAAACATTTTTAAAAAACAAACAAACATATAAACATGTTCTGTCTCGCCTTTCCTCTTTCCCAAAAGATGAAAGAGTACAAACTCACACAAACTCCATAAAGTTAGTCATGGCCCTTGAGTCCACCAGCACATTCGCTGGAATCCCTTCCGACTGGTTAGCCAAGAAAACCCGAGTGTCCAAAATCAGATGCCGAGGGGGCCCAGAGTCAACCTCCGCTAATTCAGGCAGGTGTTTGATACGTGCCCGGCCTAGGGTTTCCCCCCAGGTCAGGCCTGCCCCATTTCCCGACTGATCATGCCGAGATTCAGGCACAGGCTTGAGCGCCCTACTTCGCTTTAGAGGACGAGAAATAGTGAAATGTCCTGCCCCCCCACAATGCAAGCACAAACCCCCTTGGCGTCTCCGCGTTCGCTCCTGGGCCGTCAGGTGAGGTCTGACCACTCCTAACTCCATTGGTTCCTCGGCCATTGCCACGACACGTTGGGTGACCCGGGGCGCTGTTAGCACAGGGCGCTGTGGTACAAATGCAGATGGCTGCTCCTGGACGGTGCAACGGTTCTTTTGCCGTTGGAGACGTGCGTTGATGCACAAGCATTGCACCACCAGAGTGTCGAGGGTCGGGGCCGCTTCCACTCAAACTAACTCGTCCTGCAGCTCATCTGACAGGCCATCCTGGAAGGCATCCATTAACGCTGCGTCATTCCAGTTGGAGTCCAGGCACAAAAGCCGAAATTCAGAAATAAACTCTTGCAGGGGGCGCCTCCCTTGGTGAAGGTCCTTAAGACACCTGGCTGCCGTCTGCACTCGTATGAGGTCTTCATACATGTGGCGCATGTGTTGCCAAAAATCCTGGTAATTAGTTAATAACAGGATGTTCTTGAGCAACAAAGGTGTGGCCCATCTGGTGGCCAAGCCAGAAAGGAGGCTTATCACAAACCCCACCCGAGCCTGGTCATCTGGGAAATCCTCTGGCCTCATAGCCATAAATAACTGGCACTGCCCCATAAAAGCCGGGAACATCTCAGGCTGCCCAGAAAACTTATCTGGCACAGCCACCGGGCATTTCTGACGAGGAGGGGGAGGAGGAGCTGCATGAGTCTGCAGCAAAGCAAGTTGGGCTGTTAATTGAGCCACTTGCTGTTGTAGAGTTTGATTTTTATCTTGCAGCTGTTGCTGGTCCATCTTAGGTAAAAGATGGTTTAAGTCTGGTATGGGACAAAAATGTTCTGTCTCGCCTTTCCTCTTTCCCAAAAGATGAAAGAGTACAAACTCACACAAACACAGGCAGGCAAGCTGGCTCGGATTTTACAGAGTTAATTCTTTGGAACTGATAATATTCTTGGCATTCCAACATGTCCTGCCTGCCAAGTCCGAACTGATAACAAAATAAAATTTTACTCACAGAAAATCACAAGGCAGTCCACAAAATAATCATTCACGAAGAAAATCTGAAGTAAGGTTAAACTTTGTCCCGTACAAAGTTTCAGAAGAAAACACACCCACTTTTATCCCCTGTGAGGTGTGGCCCAATGACTCAGCTCACTCTCTGACCCTCCCATGCCTCCTACGTTGCTGCTCACGTTTTTTTCCCTACGACGCTGCTTAGGATCGAGCCAACACTCTTCCTCTTTACTCCCTGTCAGGGGCTGCTCTGATATGCCTTCCTCCTGATTAATCTCAGGCTGTTCCTCTCGGTTGTCTGATGGAACCTGAGGCATTATCAGGGAGGAAGGTCCTGAGGAGGAAGGCATTCCCAGTTCCTCCTCCTCATCTTCCAGGTCCTCTTCCTCTGACAGCATAGGCTCGGGAATCGGGGCCACAACATAAACCTATACATATACATATATACTTATAAAAATTAAGAATATATATATATATATAGATAGATAGATAGATAGATAGATAGATAGATAGATAGATAGATA